CTTGTTCCTACCTAGGAAAAAATGTTACTGCTTCTTCTGAAAAAAATTTTTTTTTTTTTTTTCTTTTCTGATGAGCCACTGAAAGGCAGAGGCTGGGATCGCCTCACAGTGCAGACAACGTGCCCGCGGTGAGGCGGTCCAGGGCACTTCCACCCTGCAGAGTAACAGATCCTCTGGTGAAGGATCAGGGCTGTCGTTCATTAGGAGAATAATAAAACAGCCCGAAAGCTTCGTCACCGCACTGCAGCAAGGAGTGAGCAAAATGGGGCTTTGGAGCCCTTTGCCGCTACGAGAGAAAAATCGTGCCGGCACTGCCTCCCAAGGGCTGCGGATGCGGTTGCCATAGCAACGCTACATCTGAGTCAGAACTATTAAGGATCACCATGGCAACAAGTGTCTCACTTGCCATTTCCAGAGAGCTGACGGGGTTTGGACTGGAACCATCGCACCACGGGAAAGGGGCAGGGTGGGAACCATCGCCCGGTGGGCCCCGGACGGGGGCAACTGCTCCGAGCCCTCCAGGCCAAACTCACCCTGGGGAACCTCCTCCCAGACCCCGTGCCCCCGCCCCAGCATGGCCAGGTTCGATGGAGCCACAGCGTTGGTGCAGCGGCCTCTGCACTCGAACAGGGCGGGTGTCGTACCCCACGCCAGCCCCCAAGATGAGGTGAGGCAGGGTTCAGGGTGGTTGCGGTGAGCTGACTCTCCCTGTAAAGCCTCTCGAATAAGCAGATTTTTTAACCCATAAACTCCAGACAAAGGAGGAGACAAAGCTCCCTGCTGTCTGCCAGCTCTCACCCTCCCCTCTGCACAGGAGCCTTCATGCTCCTGTGAATACTGAGAGGAGACAGAAGCCCAGAGGGATTTGCGTTTCACACTTGCCAGCAAATGAGCAACAGGAAGATCACACCGAGACCCCGGCACGGTGCTATTACCAATATGTGCACGAGACGTACACTCACTGCAGAGTCTGAAATTGCTCCTTTCTCTCTCTATCTGTGGAGAGGGACCTGGCACAGCTGTCTTTGTCATCACGATGTCAGCGCCGTCTGAAGCCAGGTGCCCTGGGTCCTGTGCTTGGAAGGACCACTGAGACCACGCGTAGCGGGCTGATGGCACGGCAGACCAGACCTCCTCCGTGCGTGCCATGCCATGAAGTCAGACACACGTGTCTGTGTAGAGAGCAGCTCTGCATTTTGCACAGTGAGGTGGGTGTCACTGTTGCACAGACTGGCGGTTCAGGCTCATGCAGGCAACATATAGAGGTACTCTGGAAATGCAGGCAGAGCTTTTAGCACCACCATATTTCCCAGTGGGAAGTTAGGCACAGACTCTGGCCTGCAGGGGAGGAAAGAAAGCATCCCCGAGACGTCCATGTTGCAGTTCTCTTCCCTACCATGTCCAAAGTTACTTTCACTACTCTCCTGCTGTAGGACCATCTGAGATGCTGGCAACACAACTCCGACAGAAAATACATGGGAATCTCAAGTTTCTTAGCCCATGCAGGGCATTAAGCACCTCTAGGCACTGGGACTTTGCCTCACCTGCCTTTCTTTCTCAGCGCTCAGTCTCTGCCCTACCCTCCACACATACTACCCACATGACACCTTTACACCAGGGAGTGCTTGTTGGAAAACGTGCTGATACTGGAATAGATCACCTACAGGGCAGAGGAGGCATAGTTTTGCATGACAGGGGCTTCCCAAGTGTATGGGGTCTCCCACCAGCTGGTTAGGCTAGTAGGAGTGCCTGCATGTTCCCGCATCCCTCCAGCCCCATGTAGAGGACAGGCGCCTATTGGCAAAGCCTGCTGAAGAACAGCCTGCCAGCCACCTCCCTGGAAAGGAGAAACCATCTGATCTGGATGTGTGTGCTGGTTTTGGCTGGGATAGAGTTAATTTTCTTCACGGTAGCTAGTATGGGGCTATGTTTTGGATTTGTGCTGGAAACAGTGTTGATAACACAGGGATGTTTTCATTACTGCTGAGCAGTGCTTACACAGAGTCAAGGCCTTTTCTGCTTCTCAC